AGAGAGAGAGAGAGAGAGAGAGAGAGAGAGAGAGAGAGAGAGAGAGAGAGAGAGAGAGAGAGAGAGAGAAAATGGGGGTAAGGGGATATTCTCTTCTTGAGATCAATAAATATGATATAGTTAGTCACTGCCAAGTTTGTCGTTAGTCTTTTCCAATTCTTGCAACTTCTCGTGGTCTCTGTCACACTATCTCATCTTGTTGTATTCAGTCTTGTCCCAACCTTCTTCGTTTTCGTTGTGGTGTTGATTCTTGAAGAGATCACTTGGATTTGGATGCTGTTGTGGTTCAATGAAATGCATTTCAGTATGTATGTGTGCATTTATTTTTCTCGTAGGCCTGTCTACGCTGGTATGTCAGTTTGCTTGTATGTCTGTCTTTATGCCTGTGGGTATGTTTTTCTACTGATATATACGTCTGAGTTTGCCATTTAACGGCTTTTGCTTACTTAAACGTTTTGAATGTATCAATTGCGGTGGTTTGACTGTTACGAGTTGGTCCTTTTTAGTCTCTGTTTATTTCAGTCTTTCTTTCTTTCCCCTGAACTGTAATTGGCAGCTATTGTGTAGATGTGCTTTTCTTTATGCAAGCAAAATACACAAAACAAAAGAACAACAACAAAACAACAACAACAACAATAACAGCAAAGAAACGGTAACTGTTATTTTCTTCTTCTTCAAATGCCAGGTCTGAAACCGACATCGTAGCTCAACTCTTTTATTTTGTCCGCTTGGATGCTATCAAAATCACAATACTGTCTGCCCAGCCTTTCCCTTTCTCCTATCTGTTACAGTTATTAAAGTACGTTATTCTTGGTCTATCCCTGCGTCTTTTGCCCTTCATTTTTCATGTACGGTCAAATTCTTCAAGGCCTTTATGTCGATTCAATTAATGACACATGCATTGTCTCTTCTAAACTGTTGGGATTTTTTTCTAGTCACCGTCACTCTGGTTTTTTCCAGCTCTACCTCATTATGATTTCTCTTTCTTCCATAAAATTCTCAACAGGCTCCCAAGAAACCACATACGGTATCAATGTATAATAAGTGTGTGAATATCCTGCTGTCTCCCACAGTGAGAAAAGCAGCAGCAGCGGCAACGAACACACGCAGGTGCCCCAGATGACAGTAGAGGATGACCTCATGGAGATGAAACCTCTGGCGCATCCTGATGTTTGAGAAGTAAACGAAGAAAAAGGAACAGCTGTTTGGACATAATTTAGAATTACAATGAAAACTGACTGGTGAAATTGAACACCTGTTTCCTTATTTCGATCTACTTAATGAGGCAGGTAATTGAAAACCTGTAGCCCCTTCCCTGTCAAGCCAAGGGCTGGTAGCTGATTAGTTAACAGGTGATAATTTGAGAAAACTGTAAAACTGTAGATATTATATTTTACGCCTCCACTGACACTGTTTATAAGTTTATAGTTTGTGTCACCATATGGACACGGTGGAATCAGGTACTTGTCCATTTTGGGGCTTTTTTACTACTTAGTTGTTGGTAGCAATTTAAATCCTGTTGAGTGTTCTTGCTTTTTGTGAAAAAAATATAAATCTATTTTGAATAGTAGTCAAGATGTTTGCGGCTGAAATAGGTGGGGGTCGTCTGGTATCAGAGGTAAAATTGGCCAAATAATGGGCCTCCAAAGTTTGGTGACTTCCCAGCGTTTGTGGGGTAGCGGGTAGGCGCTTCGCAGTCGCACACAGGAGATCCGAGTTCGCTTTCCGGGTTGGTAGAATCTTATTAGAGTATGTAGGTCTTTCAGCTGACATGTTGTATCCCTCTCAGCCATAATTGGCCTTTACAAGCATGTCCG